ACTAAGGTTTCTTTTGTGTTTGCAGATAGCTATGATTTCTCCAGGCATGAGTTCGTGTGAGTACACCTTAAACACACTGAGATATGCTGACAGGTAATGGCCTTTCTGACCTGGCGATTCTAATCTTATTGTAAAGGGTGTTTTAGCTGCTTTTAATCTGACCTTTGGAGCCTCAAGTTCCCTAGTATTGTTTGTATTGGCAACCTGGAGGATGGTTGTTAAGAGCAAAGTACCTTAGAGCTGTCATATGAAACCAACCTGGGTGTTCTGTGTGACACATGACAGAGATGATGTAAAACTATGAGTAATGTCTCTTTTCCTCAAAGGAATCTCCTCTCATGCTAGACTTCAGACTGCCCTGGTTCTTGTAGGGAGTTTACCCTGTCCTGAATGGTTATCTCCATGCCTTTTACTTTTTGTAGTACTTTGTGACCCATCTGTAAGGGTGTGCTAAGAATGTGTGTCATGAATGGGTGTTTCAGTTCACTCAAAGGATCACTGGCAAAGGAGCAGAAAAAGTAGGTTCAAAATGAAATGAAAGACAGTTTGTTGGCAAGGTGCACTCTACTACTGACTAGTGGTTAAAGCACACAGAGGAGAAAGCTGACTAAAATCAACCTAAAATTAAAATCAACTTAAAATTATCTACCTGGAAGCCTGGGGAATGGAAAAAAGGGATAAGGTTAGAAAAAAGGGTAAAGATTAAGAGGACTAAGGAAGACCCTCCCCTTGAGTTACAAGGTTCACGTGACCCCCTTGTCAAACATAGCCCTGTATTTGACCAACGGTTTAGGCCTAAAGATTTTAAATTAATCCATAGCCTAATTTAACATAAGATTCTATTGAATTTACTATAAATGCAACACTCACAGGCCTTACTTACAAATACTTAACATACTTAAGAATCTAAGACCATAACCTTCATAGTATGTTTGCTATAGCCTAGTCACACACAGACCTAAGGGACTAAGTATAAGGTGTATGTACCACCTGCTGTGAAGGGATTTGGGTCCCAGCTCAGCTGATGTGAGTATAACAGCCAGAGTGACTCCTGGATAGCCTGACAGGAAAGTTTCCTTAACACAAACATCTCCTGGCTTTCCTTCCCACAGTATTTAGGGGTTAAGGCCCACATAAGGCTGCTCTGGGGATGGTAACTGTGTAACTTTTAAAATTAAACTGATTGTTTCTTTCTGAGTGCTGATTGATTGATTGCAGCAGCTGCTTTGTGATGCTGTAGCCAAGAAAATGATGGATGATCAATTTGAGTGACAAATCATCTTGTTGCAGAGTGAAAGAGCTCAGCCCTCATGATGGAGGTGGTGAAACTCAGTGTCAGATGGAGACTGAGGAGGCTGAGACCAGTACTGAAGGCTCAAGTCTTCAACTCAATGTATGTATTTGCAGTGGGCTAACCAGAACTCAAAGCTGGGAACAACTTGCTGTTCTTACCTGGGCTGTTTCTTGCAGCTCTCCAAGGATGAGGAGGAAGAACTCTCTCCACACATGTTCAACTATCGAGAGGTTATGACTCAAATTACTGAATGGGAGGAGAAGGCTGTAGAACAGCTCAAAGAACTGAGACAGGTATGGGGCAACAGTGAACCCAGCCCAGGCCACCTTCTATATGTTGACAGCAGCTTGCTTTGTCTGGGCCAAGTGCTGCTGAGGAGGCACCAATGCAAGATGCTGTACTACTAGTCTTACTTTTTCCTCACTGCCAACTTTTCCCTGTATTTTCTGGCCTAGCTGGTTAAACTGGGGCATTTCAGTGCTCTTGCCAATTCCATTTCCCCTTCAAATAGCAACCTCTACTTGCTGCTAATGAGCACTGATGGCTCCTGGTCTGTAGAAGTTCAGCTATGTTAATTAGACTGCCAGATTTGAAGAAACTAATTGAATTTCTACAAAGTCTATTTCTCATCACTGTTATCCTTGTAAATACAGAAAATGGCTACTGAACTTGACTGCCTCTTGGAAGTCACAGAGAAACCAGATTATGATCTTGAGACCTTTGTGAGCAGAGCTAAGTACTTCGTAGAGGACAGCTCAAGAAATTTCCTTAGTGTCAGAGGTATGTTAGAGCCTGTATCTGACTAGCACTGTCAGTAATGCTTTTCCAAAGACCTGAAAGTAACACCAGCATGCCTGTGAGGGTTTGAGCACCCAGTCCTGCATAGCTGAGATCTGCTGAGACTGACAGCTGTTCTGGAGAGTTCAGCTTCCTGATCAGTCACTCTGTTGCTCTTACCTTTTTTTACAGAAACACTGGATGCCCTGGGGACTGCCATGCAACTGGAGGAGCAAGCCAGCAAGCAGATTAGCTGGAAGAGGCCTTAATCATTATAGCAAAACCTGGTTCACAAGCAATCTTTCATGCACTTGTCTTGTCTTGCATGTTTGTCAGTGGTTTGTGTCACTCCTGTTTTAAATGTGGTAGGGTGTCTGCAGGTCACATGCCCAAGGGCAGTGAACACAGCAGCCTTTTTCTTCATGGTCTGTATCAGGGTACTCAGCAAAGTGCTAAACTGCACCCACTGCAAGGCTTGGGTAGGGGGCCTGAGGGCCTGCAGTCTCTGCCTGAGATAGGTAGCCCTTTGCTGGTGACAATGGTCTCCCCTAAGAGAACTAACTACACATGTATAGTACCTCTTCCAGATGCGCTTGAAGAATTGCAAAACTGTTACAAGTTTTGCTCTTCTAGAAGGAAGGAAAATGGACTATGTGATTGTAAAAACCAGTATTTTAACAAGTTGAATAAATAAATGTTCTTGGATCTCACTATCTTATCTGTCCTATAAAAATATTTCTTGCTGATTATGGTCAAGTTTAACAGCTCCTAAAGACTGGTTGTTGGTAGGGAGGCTGATTTCTTGGCTGAAGTTTCTTTTTAAAGTCTTTATACTTGTAATGTTTACATAAAAATCACTCAAAATACATTTTGTCTCTTAATTTTGAGATGCTGCTGGGATCCCCTATCAGGGGGAAAGCTGGCTTAGGTGTAGCTATCTGCTGCCATGGCCCTTGCCCTGCAGACCCTTTGGGAAAGAACAGGTTAGGGGAAGAACATTTGTAAGACATGTGCTAGTGCCTGCTCTTTTTTTTACTTATTGAGTTCAGTTCAGCACATGTCTTTAAAAGCATAAAATAATTGTATGAGCTCTAGGTTCAGCAACAGGGGCTGCAGCTATGCAAACATCAGATCACAAAAGGACCATCTACCATTCTCCCTCTTCTACCATTACTCCCTCGTAGAGGTACCTTCTCCCTCTGAAACTCAAGGCTGTAATTTAAGTGACAAGGCCACCCCCAGCTCTGCACCTGCCACCTGTGGACTCCATCCTTGCTGTGTGTCTGCAGGTGCCAGCTGTATTGGAGGTCAGTTATTCTGCCTGGACTCCATCCATTATGTGCAGTGTTTCAAGGCTGGCCTGGAAAAGACAAGAAAAGAGTTGGGGATCTTTGAGGGATGTGAGCAAACATCAGTCATGAGCCCTTAAGGAAGGGATGCTTCAACCCAGGCATGATGCTCCTCCACATCTTGGGCACTTTGTGCTCACCAGTTTGGGTTCTGGGAGCAGAGTGGGGCTGAGCACTCTGAGGGTTTCTGAACTGTGAAAGGTGACTTGGACCTGGGCTCTGCCTCCATCATACTGAGCTGGCACAGCCAGAGTAGCAGGGCTGTTATGCCTTATTAAGTCTGGACAAAAGCAAGACAATCCTGTTCCACTTCAGGTGAGAGTACTGTTGGATTACCCAGCCTTTCCCTGTGTAAGGAACAAAATATTACTACCTTATCACTACCTTCCCTCTGTGGCCTTAACATTGATTATTTTCTTTATTTTATATATCTGCCTTTAGGAGTTAGAGACCTGATCTGCAGGCCATCAGCTCCTACCCTGGATGGGGCAAGACCCAATGGCCTGAGTGTGCCTCTTGGTGCAATCCCAATGGCAAATGCTGTGTGCCTGTCCTCCCTAGTAGCACCAACAGACACCAGACTCCCAAAATAAACAAGAAATATTGAGCTGTGCATGGATTAGCAATCATTTAAAACTGGGGCTTGCTGAGAACTAACTCTTTAATGATCAGTGGGAGCTTCCTGGTGTATAGTAAAGTCAGGCAAGTTTGTGTCACCATAAAAACCCCAGGACTCAAGCATCACCACCTGCTCTTACTTCTGAGAGGACGTCACTGGAAGACTTCTCAGGTTTGCCTTCCTTCTGACCAAAGATTTTCTGTAATCTGCCTTTGCAGCAAATGTGCTCTAACAGCACTATCTTGTGGACACTGCAGGAAATTCATACTGAATACACTAATTTTAGTGCAAATGGCTGAATTTCATTGAGGATTATGCAGTCAATCACAGGCACTAGGTTTTCCAGTGGGTGCCTGATGTTCTAAAAGGGTGTTTCACTGCTGGCTGTCTCTCCCAGCTGTGGAGAATACAGTGGCCATGAGCAATGCAGCACCCTTCAGCCCTGTGCAGCATGTATGTTGCTTCCAGGCCTAGTCATCAAGGGTGACAATACACAAGGCCAGTCAGATTTCACATCTCCCTCTAAATAAAATATCAAGGGAGCTCCAGTGGCAGGAGCAGGGAGGGTCTGAGCACGTCTACCTGCAGGCAGTGACTGTGACCCCAGCCCTGCCGCGGGTCCCGGTCCCGCACCCCCCGCCCGGCCGGGCCCCGCGGGCCGCACCCGCCGGGCAGCCCCCAGAGCCCGGGAGGGGCAGCGGCTGCACCCCCGGACACCGGCGGGGCCGCGGAGCACGCTGGGCATGCAAATCAGCCCGAAACGGGGCGGCCCGAACGGGCAGGAGGAGCCGGCGGCGCGGTGGGCGGGGAAGGCGGGTGTTGCTGACATGCGTGCCGCAGCAGCGGGTTATCCGCACGGGCCGGAGCGCTGGGGAGCGCTCACATTCATTCCCCATTGCCGCAATTAACTGCCAACAGCCCGCCCGCTCAGCATTCGCTCTTTCATTAACCGTAAATGGTTGGCTCCACCGTAATGGTGCCACAAAAATTTTCGTAAGACTCGTACGCGTTCCTCCCCATGGAAATCTTTAGTAAAAGGCGAAAGATTTATACGATCTGAAGACAAACCGGAGGACAGCCATGCTGCACCCCGCACACATGCCCACTCCCCGCTGCCGGCCCAGCAGACACGGCGACCTTCACTCAGTTCCTCTCCCTACTTCCCACTCCTCCGGCGCCTCAGCCAGCTCGGCACCAGCCCCCGCGGCAGCACAGCCCGGCCGGCCCCTGCCCGGCGCCACGCCGGCCCGGCGCTGCCCGCACTGCAGCCCGGGGGTGCCGGTCACACCGAGCGGAGCAGGCCCTGCCGGGGCGGGGGGAGCGAAGCGGGGACAGCAGCTGGGGACAGAGCGAGCCGGGAGGGGATAACAACCCCGCAGCGCTCGGGTCTGCTCGCATCGTCGCCACGGCAAGGAGACGCCAAGGAGAGGCAAAAAGTCGGCTCCGGGAAAGGCCACCATAGCCGCTGCCACGGATGGGAGCTAGACAGCGAGGGGGGCTTGCTTAGGGGCCCCACACAAGGTGCTGGGCTCCGAGCGGGCGCCAAGACCACCCCTACCCTCCCGGGAGGGCTGGAGCGGCCCGGACTGCCGGCAGCTCCCCGGCTGTGGCTCCTCCCGCAGCCCGAACCGCGGGCACGCCGAACCAGCGCGGGTCGGGCTGCCGGCCCCGGGACACCGCACACGTACCCCAACTTACTGGCACACTGTAAGTGTACCCACCTTTCACGCAACTACAGCTTGTTCTTTTTTTAACCAGAGTAGGGGTAGCTCCACCGAAATGGAGCCTCAAAAAATTTCTCGACACTCGTGCCTGTTCCTCTCCACGGAAATCTTTAGTAAAAGGCGAAAGATTTATACGATCTGAAGAGAAACCAGAGTATGCCGTAACTCGGCCCTCGGCAGGTACCCATTCACGGCAGTCCCTCCGAACATACAGCGACGCCGCTTGCCCCCAGGTTCGAGCCTCTGCTGCCTCGCCCCGTGCTGCCGGCAGCGCTCAGAGCCCAGCCTGGCACCGAACCGGCGGTACCGGGGAGCGGCGGCCCGAACTTTGCCGTGTGCGCGGCACCCCCGCGCGGTGCACCCTGGGTATGCAGATTATGCTGAATACTAATGAGGCTGCAGCCCCGCCCAGCCGCGGATCGCTCCCGCCAGGCAGGAGCGGCCCCGGGAGATCGCCTGTGCCTGCCCTCCTCCCCCGGCACACCGGCCCAGCTGCCCCACACCGCCCCGGGTGGGTACACAGACCTTACCTTTGTCCTGGACCTCCAGGCGTGCTGAGCAGAGCACGCCCAGCATGGGCTCCGTGAACAGACAGGGCACCTCTCCCATCATATCCTGGGGAAAAGGGCAGCGTGACAGGGATGCTGTCTTCACACAGCTCTCCAGACTGTTCTCTCCCAGAATGCCAAGGAGACAGGCACAGCTCCTGCCTGAGCAGGGATGGACAGAGCTGGTAACACTGCCCGTTGTCCCAGCATGGCCCACTGCTCAGCTGCATGACCCTGAGTGTCTGCAGAGCCCCGTGCTGGGCTTGGGGGCAGGTACACAACAGCACAGCTTCGAGGCCTGGGGAATCTTGGCTCTGGTACTCGGGACTGCTGTGGCCCGAAGAGTCCAGCAGAACCTGTGCATCTTTTTGACCTTCTGCTGAGTTGGAGGTGTTTAAGAACTTGGTCTGGGCTTGCACCCTTGTGTGGAGAATGACAGATGTCATGATCTCTTCTGCCTGGAGAAAAATGAGAAAGAAGTTTAAAAAGGTCTGTGAAGAAAGGCTGTACAAATGAATTATCACTAGAATCACATTTTAAATCTCTGGCAAATAATATTAAAGCAATTAGTAACCATTTAATCTCATTTTCTCTTATTCCATAGATAGGAAAACTAGCAAAAGGAGAGTTCCTGATACGTCTGAAGCTGCACAATGAATCTGTGACAGACTTGAGATTATTTTCCTGGGCAGGTGGTTTCACCACAGGAGTTCTTTTCTCTGCTCTGCTAATAAAGTCATTTTGATGTTACCCATTACCCCAGCCCTGTTTCTCACTAGCCTCATGATATGAACACTGCATCTCATATCTGACCTGCCAGGGAATAAATAGAGTGAAATGAGAGCAGAAATAGGTATGGATTTATGGGGAGTGACAGGGTCAAGGGGGCTGTAAATGCCTGTTAGCACAGCAGCACAGCCCTCACTCACATGCTGGAACGACAGCCAGCTGGACATCCACCCCAGGAACATGTGCCTGGCCTTGGCAGTGGGAAGGTGCTTTGGCACCTTTAGCATGACAGACATTTGCTCCCTTTTTTCCCTGTCTAATTTTCCCGGCATGTTTTTAAACAATCTAAGAAAAGCTAAAATGAAAAGAGTTATAAGCAAGAAGACAGAAGTTCCAGAAACATCCCTTGTCTGCAATTCCTTCTATTTCTTCACACAGGTGTTCAACAAAGAAATCTACATTTTCCCAAGTGTCTTGGCACACTTTAGGCTCAGTGTGACATCCCCCAGTGCAGCTTGACAGATGTGAAGGTGCCCTCAGTGAGGGAGATGGACTGTCAGGGACCAGGCATCCGTTTGTGTGGCAATCCTGCAGCTGTGCACGCTGCTGCTGGCTGGGGAACACTGGCCAGTCTCAAGGAGCCTTGCAGCTAAACACCAGGACCTGTGCCACACACGGATGCAGGAAGAGGGATAAGGTCACAAACAGTGGCGTTAACACAGGTGCCTTGTCCTCCACCAAGCTGTATCAACGTGCCTAAGGATCAGAAAGGAATTCACACCTTGTCTAATGCACTTCTTGGACTTCCTACCTAACAAAAGCACCATTTTAGGTTTTGTTTAAGTGTAGTTTATTGAGAAAAAGAGTTAAAATAACATAAATCTTTCTGTTTCAGAATAAGAAGTTTCTTTCAACGTAATACAAATCATCAAGATTACCAATTTCCTATTTACAAAGTTCTTAAGCCCTCTCTCCTGGTATCTGGAGCAAAATTTCAAATCAGTTTCAAAATATCCCCAAGATACCTGCTCAAAAGTAACTTTCTACTCCTGTTATCTGAACCAGACTGAAAACAACCACTAAGACATGAACATGTGTCTCAGTGCCTAAAAACAAACAAGTAAAGTCTTCAAAAAGCTGGCTAAGAAACAGAGCTTGAGAATTAGGACGAGATGAAATTTCATTTGGGAATTAACGGTCTGTGTTCTGTGAGGCATCTGTGTCCTTGGCAGGGCATTTTCAGGACCTCCTTTGCAGGGAAGCAGGTTTAAAATAAATCCATTTTCCCAAAATAGTTGTGATTGAAAATGTTATTAGCCATAACAAATGTTAGTGCTGACAGGAGAATGGCCTGTTAGGGGCCTCTGCTGAAACAGTCAAGTGAAAGTCATATTTCACATTATTGCAAGCATTTTCCTGTGATTTACAGAATATTTGTGAAACATTACTTGCAAGGCATATGATTAATATTGAGAGAACAGCTCGTGTGCAGGGGGAATCTGTATTTCACAGAGACTGTTTGCATGAAATTTACAGTCCCATAAAGTGCTCCTCTGTCCTCAACAGAGATCTAGTTAAAAGAACTTTACAGTCTGAAACATCCCAAAATTGATTGTAAATTAACGTTTCTGTATTTATGTTTAAGATGCTGGTGGTGTAATGCTGCAGTAAGCCCCCCCACTACTCAGAAATACTAGCACCAGCCTCTGGACGTGAGGATTTTAGTGATACAAAGGCCTTGCCTATGAATCAATGGAAAAAAAAAAAGAACTTTGAAACAATGATGACATGGCTTCAGAGCTGCAGTGGTGTCTGTCTCTGGCTGCTGTAATAACAGCATTTGCTGACAGAGGAGTCTTTAAGCCAACATTGCAAACTACCTTGACAATGTATGCTAATGTTTTTATTATGACTGTTTTACATATGGGAACATACAGACACAGGGAAGTTAAATGACTTGCCTGAATTTGTCAGTGCTAGCATCAACATGTAACTCCTGTTGTTGGCTTCAAACTGCTGTCAACAGTGCTGGGCTGCCACCCAGTCCACTGGACCTAATAATCACAACAAGGCTGGGTCAGGGCAGGGCTTTATTCCTGCCAAGGAAAACCCGGTGATTTAGGAACTGCTCTGGCAATTCAGCAGTTCTTTACATCCAGAGTACTGCTTAATCATCAGGTTGAGATCAAAAGGCACACTGGGGCTGCTGCAGCCTCAGAGCCAGTGTGAGGTGCCGGGAGCGATGGCCTTGGACTCACGGAAGGACGGAGTGGCAGTGATTTGGTGTCACCTTTGCCTCTTACAACACCAAGGTTGCGCCCAGCCTCGGGCAGAACTCAGGGCTCGTTTCCCCGGCAGGTTGCCCCTTTCCTGGCACGCCTCACAGGACAGCCACCTTCCTCAGTGCACCCCAAATCCCCAGCCCCTCAGCCCGCTGTCGCTGTCCCGCCTGTGGCCCCACAGCCAACCCAGCCCCGCACATCCAGCCAGGCCCGGCTCTGCCCCGGCAGCCACCCCGCCCCTGCCCCGCCTGATCCCCTGCAACTTCAGCATTCCCTGCCCCAGGGCACCGTCCCGCAGCCCCTCCCGGGCCAACAGCGCCTCTCACCCCTCTCACCCCGCGGTATTCCCGGCCCCTGTCTGAATCCCGCTCCAGGCCCTTCCCTTCCCTCAGCCCGGCCCGCGCCCCTGCCCCGAGGGGGCGGTTACCCCGCGCAATGACTGACGCGCGCCTGAACCAATCGCTGCCAGACTCTCTCCCCCTGCCCAATGGGTGGCCAGCGGGCGGGGCGCTGGGCCGGTGCTAAGGGCGCGTTGCTAAGGAAGTGGGAGGCGGGCAGGGGGCGGGGCGGACGGCGAGGCGGGGCGGGCGCTTTCCCTTCCCATTGGCTGCGGGGAGGGAGGTGGGCGGGGCTTCCGGGGAGGCGGAAGCGGCGGGCGGGCGGCGGAGCGCGGCCATGGGCGCCCGCGGGCTGAGGGAGGCCGTGGTGGAGCTGGAGCCGGAGCCGGGGCACGCCCGCGGTGCGCAGGCGAGCGGGGACACCAGGGACACCGGGGACAGCGGGGACGGGGGGCCGCTGCGGGCGGGGAAGGGGCGAGCGCGCTGCGGTGCGGGAGGAGGAGCGGCACTGGTGCTGCAGCAGTGTCTGGCGGTCCCCGGGGGACAGGGCAGGACGCGTCCCCGTTCCCCCGGGAAGCGACAGCTGCTGTGTCGCCGGGAGGAGCGGCGGGAGCTGCAGGGCCGAAGCTGCGCTGTGCTGCGCGCCCAGGCGGTGAACCCGGCGTGGGGCAGTGCGGGAAGTCGGGCTCACACTCGCCTTTAAACGCAGTAACCGGGCAGCTGCTGCGAGCTCTGGCTGCGGCGGACTGGAGCTCAGTAACGCGTGTGATCTGTTCCAGAGGGCAGCGCAGACGGAGGCCCTGCCGAGGGCCGGCCTGTGGTGATCCTGCTGGGCTGGGCCGGCTGCCAGGACAAGTACCTGGCCAAATACAGCGCGATCTACAGCCAGAAGGTGAGCGGCCTCTGTGTCCGCATGACACTGTCACACTGTGAGACAGCCTCGTTTCTGCACGTTGGTAAAGTGCCTCTGAAGGCTCTCCTGGGGAGGAGTGAGAGTTCTCCTGTCACTGAAAGCTCCCTGTCCCTCACAGCCCGGGCAGCGTTATCTGACAGCTGCGTGTGCAGCTAAGACAGGAATGCTTCCTTGGAGAGACTTTCAGCTGCTGTGTGACTCACTGGAGCATCTTAACGCTTTTAAAGTTGTGGGATTATTCAGGAATGACGTGAACCGTGTTAGTTTTCCAAACGGGTAAACATGCAGGGAAAGATTCTGTGTTTACTGCTTGCTGTTAGGCCACAGCACAGACGTGGTGAGGCTGGGGTGGAACTGACAGGACACATTGGCATCTGTTATGCCTTTGGTTCGTCCTTCCTTTGGAAATGATTCATCTAAATGTTGTAAGCCAAATTAATTTTATCCTGTCTGTGAAACAGGCATCCTGTGATAGTCATAGCTGCTCAGTAGGAATTCCTTGTGTTGAACTAAAGAGATCTGTCCTACTGCCTGTTCCCTAAGTTATGATACTTTCCTCTAATACTGTATTTTACTGGAATGACCCCAGCTTGTAGCATGGGGACCCAATGAAACATTAGATTTTTTTTTCTTGGTCAGCATACAGGGAATCTTGTATAGTTCCAACTATAGGTGGTAAAGTTTGTACATTAACAAGTCTGTTGTTAATGTGTAATCCAGTGCAGGAGTCATTAATTGGCTTGATCTAGTGAAGAATTAGTTGTTAAGTGGCTTTAAGGTGCTGCTGAGAGGATGAGGAGCACGTTAGAGGGCAGCGTGACAGCTTCTTGGAAAATGCTTTTCTCTCAGAAAGATCACAGAAATGGGAAAGGAGAGGATGGGCTTTCTTAGCTCTCTCAGAGGAAGTGGCTGTAACCATGGCAAGATTGTAGAGAAGGCTTTGATTTGAGAACTTGGTATCCTCTTTTAACTCATTCACTGTTTAGGGAGCTCTGGGGATTGTTTTGGTGGCTTTGCTTTGTGCTTGTCAGTGTGTAATGTCAGTGAGCTCAGGTGATAGAAAAGGTCTAAAGCATTTGTAAATGTAGTTCCATCTGCTCTGTTTTGAAACTCCTCCAAGATCCTGTTTCCAAATCTGTACCTAAATGTAAGGACTTCTGTGTGAGGGCAGCTGCTCAGGAGTTCTGAGTCCTTGAGCCAGAGCTCTTTCTTTGCACAGCTGGAGTGTTTTGTGAAGGTCTACAAAAATCATGTTGGTGTTTGTTGGTGGTGAGTCTTAGAGACAGCTGCAAACAAGTGCACCCAAGGAGAGGTTCTTCTTATATTTGCTTCAGTGTGATGAGCTGGATGTGTACCAGAGCAGGCTCGTCTTACCAAAGTGGCTGATGCTGAAGGTCTGTGAATCAGGGAGATGTTTTTCTTCTCCTGGGTGAGGATTAACACCCATAAAAATGGGTGGCAGTGTCCCCAGGGGCTGTGCCAGTCAGCACAAGATTTGAAAGGCCCTCAGACATTGCAGAGGCCTTTTCACAATACTGTGTGCTATGATGATTAATGTAATCTATGTTCATGTCAGTGCCTTGCTGCTGACACTAAAGACTTTCTTCTGGCCCTGTGGTTTCTCTTGGAAACCTGTCCCAAATTTTCATGTTCTTTGTACTGCTGCTTGCCTACTGTCTGTAATTTGCAGCACAGCTGAAATGTGTGTGGGGTCTCTTCCTGTTGTTCTTAGGGGTGCACGGTCATCCGTTACACAGCTCCATGGAGGATGATATTCTTCTCCGAGTCCTTTGGCATCAGATCCCTGCAGACGCCGGCCAGGCAACTCCTGGAGCTGCTCTTTGACTACAGCGTTGAAAACAGACCGCTTCTTTTCCACGTTTTCAGCAACGGTGGTGCCATGCTGTACCGCTACATCATCGAGGCGCTGCACACCCACACGCCCTTTCAGAGCCTCAGAGTAGCTGGCACCATTTTCGACAGCGCCCCTGGCAGAAGAAACTTGCGAGGAGCCCTTCGTGCCCTGGCCACTGTCCTGGTCTCCGTGAACGTGCTGCTCAAGTACTTCCTGCTGTTCACTTTTGCCAGCGCGGCCGTGGTGCTGCGGATCCTGCTGTACCCGCTGACGCGCTTCGTGCACCAGAGCCACTACGACGCGCTGCTGCAGGCGCCCTCGCGCTGGCCCGAGCTCTACCTCTACTCCCAGGCCGACCTCATCATCAAGGCCAGCGAGGTGCAGCTCATGGCCGGCGCCCGGCAGCAGCTCGGCGTGCCTGTCAAAGCTGTGGACTTCTCGGACTCGCCTCACGTGGGCCACCTGCGGGTGTACCCCACCCACTACCGCAGCCTCTGCAGCACCTTCCTGTCTGACTGTGTCGGGGCCTGCCCTCCCTAGGGCTCTGCTGGCCTCAGTGGTTGCCTCTCCTTGCTCAGCTCCTATGGGAAATGTCACCTCCTTTGCTTGTGTGTCTTTGAAGCGGGGAAAGTAGAGGCTTCTTGTTTGGTTTGTTTGTTTGTTGTTTTTTTTTCCCCCTACCATCTACAAGTCTGAAAGCCTCCAGCCTGGCCTTTGGACCAGCCACGTTAGAGCAGAAAGTAGATATGGATTAATTTAAAGTCCTGAAGGTGAAATCCTGTCATGATTCATGTTGATGTGCTCTGCCAAGGTGTCACAGATCAGAATCTTACACTGAGTATTATGTCTTTCCTCCTGTCTTGTTCTCTGCTCTCCATGTTGTCTCCTTGTCCCTAATGTCCAATGTGCATGTTCTGTTGCATGTATTAATTTTACAATACAGCTCTTCCATGTCTTTGTTGTTTGTTGTTTTTTTTTCTCTCTGCCATTTCTTTTATCTTGCAATGAGCAAACAGAGCCAAGTTTGCAGGATTCTTTGATTTTCTCAGTGCATCCCAGCTCTTGTTGTACTCTCCTTGTTGGAGATCAGGCCCTGAAACCAAGTGTAAGACCAGGCAAAGGTGTGTGCAGGGCAGTATGACCAGACTGTTATCCCTGGTTCCATTAAATAGCCCAGATAAAACAGTCAAAGCTCTCTGATCCATGGTGGGAGCTCAAATGTTTGTGATAACTTTTGTGTTCTTCAACCCAGAGGTTTAAGCTAACATTTTTCAATATGTTTAGTGTTTTGTTTCTCTTCCTTCCAGTCTTTTGTGTGTTCTACTGAGTAGTTTTGCTTTCTTGGAGAGCTACTTAGTTGTTAATTGTATGTCTTGAAGCAGCTGATATTTTGCATCTGGATATTCAGGGAAATTTTTGGATTACAGCTGTGCCAGACCCCAGAAACAGAAAGGTGGAATTGCAGAAGAAAATGGAACTGTCTCTTGGAGCTATGCTTTATACTGGGTATTTCTTAAATCACCTCCAGCCTACAAATGACCATGAAATATGATGTTTTTGTCCATAATGTTCTCTTCAGATGACCAGTCTTTGCAACGTGTACAAGAAATTAATTCCTTCCACCTAGTGAAAATGTATGTCATTGCACTGTACTTCATGTTTGGGTTTAGGTTTTATTGTTTATTTGGGGGAGAAGTGGGGGTAAAGACAGAGGAGAACCTGCTGATATGTTTATGTTATGTCACAGTACAGCAGGCTAATTAATAACATGATGAACAAGTTTAGCCAACTTTAAATTGCCAGGAAGAAGCTCTGGAGGGCTGTGACATGGGCCTGCTTGAACAAGGAACTGCCCTAGAGAGGTAGGCACTTAAAAAGCAGGAGGATTTTTGCCTTTTGGTTCTGCCAGTGGGTGGCTGTGCTGCTCCTGCCCACCCTTGGGGTGCTGTCACCCACAGTTACAAAACTCCTGCTGTTCTGGATTGAAATGCCGAGGGGGAAGTCCCTGGGAAGCACTAAAATAATTTGGCAGTTTAACACAAGAACTGTAACACCTCACAGAAGTGAAAGCACAGGGTGAGTGGCAGTGGTGACCACACAGCTGGTTTGTAGCAGACTATTGTGACAATGCTCATTTACAGCAGAATAATCCTCTGATGGGCATGGTTTTAGAGGGAGCGTTGGGCTGTATATGGGATAAGTGAGAATTAACTGAAAAGGGCCTGATGACCTGGTTTGGTTTTTATTTTTTAAAAGTGAAAACTGTCTCCAGGCACAGGAGCTTGTTGCTTGGGACCCAATCTTCTGTAGGTGTGATCCCAGTTCCAGCTCCCACTGTGGCAATGGGGTGTGAGGGCTACTCTGTGCTAAGAGCCTTCAGCCATCCCCTTTTCATGGAGAAATTCTTGTTTCTAGGGTTTGGACCTGTCAAATCCAGGCATGGTCCCCTATCTCCAGAATGCCCATCTGAGATCTCCCAGCTTTTTAAAGCAGGCCCCTGGTTTGTGCTGTCAGTGCTGTAGCTCCTGAGCTGTGATGTGTTCATCTGCCTTTTCAGAGATCTGGGCTGGAGCTTCTCAGCATCCAGCCTGTTTGTGGCACTGTGAACACTCTTGGGGAACAGAGGTGAAAAAGTTATTTAACCAGCACTTGCCCTCATGCTGGTTTCTACAGGTTCAGTATTTACAGATCAGTTAAACACTCCATAATAGACGCCTCTGAATTAATACAGTTGTTCCTGGGGATCTGCTGTTCCTGTTTATTGCTGTGGGTGTTGAACTTCTCCTGTTCAAGGACTCAGGCTGTTACAGAGCACGGCTGGCAGGAGCTGGAGCTGAACCCTCTGCCCCTGCCTGACAGGATGGTGAGGCTTCCTCTGGGAAAAGCCTCACATGTCAGCTGCACCTTCCTTCCTCACTTTCAGCTCCCCACCACGGTGGTGCCACCTCCCCAGCTCAGCCCTGCTTCCCACTTCCCAGGGCAGCAGGCAGGGAGCGGGTGCTGCCTGCTGGAGCTTCGCAGTCAGAGTGTCCTGAGCTGTGCCAACAGGAATGTGCTCACAGGCGTTTCCACTGCTGCAAAAGTGACTTGAAATTCGGAGGTGATTTGTGTACACAGCTCTCTGAGAGCAGGATGATTTGCAGCACCAGTCTTCTGAGTGGGTTTTGTTTTCTGAGTCCCAGCAAGTTTTAATTCCGGTTGTGAGCGCTGTGTGATATGCTGGCCTCTGCTTTCCTGTACTGCCTGTGCCCCCACCTCCCTGCCCTCCGTATTCCTGTGGCTTATTTGAAGCAGAAGGTTAATAACTTGGAGCCTGAAGGCACATGGCTGAGAACTGATCCAAGCACTACTGGATTTACAAAAACCCAGCCTCAGACCCTTAATCCTTGCTAAACTGTCACGGTTTGGCGCAGCCGGTGTTCCTAAAGAGCTTCAGCCTGAACACTGAGAGCCCAAAGGTTGTGATATCTTGGCAAATCCAGGTAAATCTCTGAGATGAGCTACGGGGAGGAGGGGCACTGCAGATCTGTTCATTGGGAGGAAAAAATGCAGCATCCTTGGACTTGCCTCGAGGGTAGGGAGTGGGATGTGGCCCAGAGCTTGTTTTCCTGCAGACTGTGACACAGTGTGGGTGGAACACCAACAGTAGTGGGAGAGGAGGACGCTCACAGCTGGCTACCACAGCTGTGGTAAAGCAAAATTAACTTTCCCTCAGTAACAAAATCTATTTGAGTGTTTCCTGTGAGGGAACTGACTCCTGGCTTGCTCCCCCGTGCTGCCTTCTCTCCCCAGGCAGTGGTGATGTTACAGGGTGGTTTTGAAAAACAAAAAAAGCCACTTAGTGGTCAGGGTGGTCTGTGTGGCTGGGCTGGAGTGCTCAGCTGCTCCTGACAGGGCTGGGAGAGCTCCCTGTGGCACTGGGGGAGGCTGTGGTGGGGAACTGGGCAAGCCAGGGGCAGGATCCAGCCAGCCAGGGCTCAGGTTTGGAGCTGGGGGAACATTTTGCAGCGGGAGTAATTCAAATTAGGCTCCTGGGTGGGGACTGACCTGTGCCCACACCTCATAAAGGTGTTTTTAAGGTGTGTGGGCTGAGGTCCCATTTTCATGCATGTTGGGATGCTGGAGGCATATGCGTAGAGCTCTGCCATTGATGGAAAAGTGGGAATGGATGGGATGGGACCGAGCAATCCAACCCCGTGCTGCATCCCAAAAGGTGAAGGAGGGAGGCTGGTCTCCCCTGCCCGTGGAGGGGCTGTGCAGACCCGGGAGCCCCGTGCCGGGCGGGAACAGCTCCACGAGATGGCAGCAGGACCCCTCTTTCCCGCATGGAGAGATTCCTGCTCTAGGAAACAGCTGAGCACATCCTGGTGAAGACCCCAACAGCACAGCTCAGCCCAGCGCTTCTGAGTTCCTGAGAGCATCTCCTGCAAAAGGGCTCCTCTTGGGGCAAGGAAAAAGACCAGCAAGAGCTAACTCCGATGACAAGAACTGGAGATGGGAGTTGATACAGAACAGCATCTCTCCCTAGGGATGCCTGCCTCTGGAATTTGTACTAGATCCCATTCCTCAGCTTTAACTGATTGTTAAAACCAAAAATCTAGCAGCAGGAATAGCTTTCCTGCCCTTCTCACCTCAGCAGACTAGGTCATAGCACTTCCCTCTCCATCACCCAGGGAAGGCTGTCTGTTTCTTACATCAATCTCTGTAAAAGTGTGATCAAGCAGACCATGGCCCAACTTCTGGGAGCTCCACATATCAGGACTCCGGAGCTCCCCTGGGCTCCCTGTAGTCCTCAAGCCCTGGGAAAGGAGCTGAGCTTAGTGCTGCTCTTCTGAAAAGGCTGGCAGGACCTCCCAGCACACAGGGCTGGGGGCTGGGGATGCAGTTAGGAAACAGGACAGCACAAATGGGGGCCCAGAGCCACCACCTGATCTGTCTCCTAATGTCCAGCACAGCCACACAGCTCCTTCACCCAGCCTGGGGCATGAGCATCCCTCCATCTCCTTCCTTTTGAATTTGGTCCCCCTCCCCTCATTTCTGCATCCTCATATGGCTGCAAGTGCACCCCAGCACCATCAGACAGGCCATGTGGGCACGGCTGGGATGAGCAGAAGTGGGCACGGCATCCTTCAATCACCCTCCCAAACCTATGGGGGCTGGGGCAGGCAGAGCTTGGGCAGCCCTGCCCCCATGGAATGATGGATGAGCTGACAATAGGGTATTGATAAGGAATTAACCTTGAGCCCTTCTTGCTTCAGTGTCAATAGAGCAGGAGCCAAGTACACACGTTTGATTGGAAATCTGTGTTTGGCCTCTGCTGCCTCTGAGCCCATCGAAGGAGAGAGACAAGAGGGAGATGTGAGCTGCCCTGCTGCCCCAGCTGGGACCCCTCCAAGTGGATCCCTCTCAGCTTCCCCTGCTGCTGCAGTTGACTGTGGGCACCCAGCTCTAGTGGCTGCAGCAGCCTCTTTGCCCCCAGCCTGGCATGTGCAGGGCTGGGTACCAGGGCCCCCCTTGTTCCCTAAAGGGCCTGTGCCCATCTTGCACTGGCCTACACTCGGAGCAGTTTGTTTAATTAAGTGTTTTGCCTAATGGGATTGCCTCATTTCCATAACAAACTGGCGGGCTGTCATTAGGTGGGCTCCCTCATTCATTACTGTTAATTAGATATGGATCCCCCAGAAGGCGGCGCGGGGTGATGAACGAGGCCCCTGACACACGCTATTACACATTAGCATTTTCTCAATATATCCGATACATCACGCTCCTCCGCTTCCTAAAGATATTTTAAATAAAATATTAGCAGCCTGCTGTGGGGTAGGTGAGAGGGAGGGGGGTTTCTGCCCTTCGCCCTGGCCTCAGGCCACCTTTGGGCTGGAAGTGGATGGGAGAGGGGCTGAGACGCTTCACTGCTCCTCTCCAGCCAAAAAAGTGGCCAAATCCCACCCTTTCCCTATCCCTGCCACAGCAGATGGAAAGAGGTCCCTGACATCCTTACTGCCTCCTCCCACCAGCCTGGGGACCCCCAGCACCCCATCCCTGGGGGACACAGCCATGAGGAGGGGATTGAAAACAGCCCATTGACCCATCTGCGAAATGTTTGTAAACCAAAAGCGTCGGCGCCAGCCGCGTGCCGGGGGGAACCCGACCTCTGCCCCCCCTGCCCAGCAGCCTCCCCGTCCCTGGGTCGGGGTAACCCTACCCGGCACTGGAGGCCCCTAATGCAGGAGGTATAGATCTGTTGGGGCTGGGCGTCTCCTGCCCCCACCTAACGCAGCCGATGAGACTTCATTGTGGGGGTGTCCCCTGAGGGGTGCCCTTCGCCCTGCCCTCCTGGCTCCGTGGGGGGACCAGTTGGGGGAACCCACCCGTGGTGGGGCCTGGTGCACGTCCCAGCATCCCCCTGCATCTGTCCCTGCATCCCAAACAGGAGCAGGACTCCCCTCTGGGACATTACTCACATCCAGGGGCTGTGGCGTGTGGGGGGTGTCTCTGCTGCCTCTCGCCTGCAAAAGGAAACACAGAGAAGCAGAAAGCACCCGAGAAGATTTATACTTGTTTAATTAATGTCAAATGTAGTTTACAAACGGGAGTGACAAGTACCTCTTTGTATAGTATACACTGACACACAATCATTGACACACCGGAATATCGCTTTGTGCAACTGGGATTCTTTGGGCAAAGATAGGTAACTCTGATATTTCACTTTTTTTTTTTTTTAAATCATTTATACTCATTACAGAAGAGGGGAAGTGGCAGATGCCTGTTACAAACTGGGATGCCTCTCTCCCCAGCCTTCCCCCTGCAGCTTCCCCTTTGAAAACGGGGGATGACTTTACAATTTAAACAAAAAGAATTTACCAAAAATAAACCCCAAAGCAAAGAACCAATGACTAGTTACATATGGTTTTACACATACGTACATAAAGCACATGGCTGGTCCACAACACCTGCCAGAAGGGCCCTGGGAGGGAGCTAGGCTATTTCCAAGGAAGGGCTGGGTAGGGGCCTCCTACCCTCTTGCTCTTCCTGGCTGTCTCTCAAACCCACCTGGCTGCACCCTCTCCATCTCTGAGACCTTAACACCAGCACACTCCCAGCTGAGCCCTGGGCCCTGCAAGGTTTTCTCCCTTTACAAATGCAGCCTGAGCTGTGCACGCCTGCCCTTCCCCTGCTTGTGCTGCTGGCTGCAGGGTTACCCTGCAGTGACACCCCCTGCCCGCAGTCCCCCTGTGAAAGCAGGACACTCTGGGGTGCCCTGGCTCCCTCTGGCACAGGGCAGAGGAGGCTGCAGCACTCTGGTCTCAGAGGCAACAGATATGACCTTGGACACAAGGGAAACTCCCAGTTAGGAACTGTCACCTTTTGATGTGTATGAAACAATATCTCCTTCAATTTCATTTGGGGTTTTTTTGGGTGCAGTGGGATCCTTCTGAAATCAGCCAGGAGATGCCAAGGCTGCAGCTGTTCTCTGCAAAAGAGCTCAGGGTAGGGAAGCAGTAATGGGACTGTCACTCCCCACACATCCTGCTCACCCAGCCCTTCCCTCTCTGGGAACACCCCAGCAGTGCTGGGCTCCCAACTCCCAACCCCTCATCCACTGCTTTTCCAGACTGTCTTGACATGCCCCAGCTGTGTTGTGCTGCCAGGTGGGATCTGTTTGGAAAGGAGTGGGGCAGATGAGCTTTCCCATCTCCCTGTCTTCTGGCTGTGGAGAGCTGGCCCCCCACAACTGCCCAGGAATCCGTGGCAGGGATACACAGTGTGGAGCTGGGAGAAGTCCCAAGGCCTTGGGAAGGGGGTCAGTATCTGTTTCTTGGATCCTGACAATAAAAGAAAGAACAACAAAAAACCAGGCCAGATGGCAGCTTTGGTTAAGGCTGAGGATACGGGAGACAGGGATAAGCGTGAGGGACTGCAGGGGACCTCTGGATCCAGCTGAGAGTGACACTGGGAGTGGCAGTGGGGATGAGACACGGCTGGCTTGGCTCTCTGCCCTGGTGCCAAAACCTCTTAGGGAAAACGTGGGCTGCAGGAGAGTGGGAGCTGGGGGAAGCGAGAGCAGGGCAGGGCTGGCTCTGCAGGGCTTGCACGGCTCTGCCAGGCAGCCCAAGGGGACTGGCTGAGTGTCTCTGGGCAAAGCCACCAGCAGGACCACCCCGTCCCCTGGCACCCCCAGTGTCCTGCCTCAGCATCATCCCGAGCAGCCCAGGCATCCTCAGCCAGGAAACGCTGCCCAGAGGAGGAAGCAAAGCCAGGCAGGGCAGGGGAAGGGGCTGTGGCCTGGGGAGCACAGGATTCAGCCAGAGCCTGGAGCAGGCACTGCCAGCCAGGGCAGGGGGCAGTGCTTGACAGGCTCCCTCCTTCCAGCTCCTCGCCATTTGCTCCTTCCCCAGCTGGGAAAGATAAAGGGGGCTGAGCCAGATTCCCCCTGTCCTGCCTGGCCCCCCGGTGAGGAGTTAAAAGCTGTGTCTTTCCGGGGATAACGATTCTATTATAAATAGCCCCATTAGCTACAACTAATGACAAAAATCCACCTCCTCTACTCCCCATAAGTTCTGTAAGTTATGGGCAATGCTACAGCCATTACTAAAAGCTGTTAACTTCATATCTGAATGAGGAAATATACACCACAGAACATTAAACCATTTATATTATATATATGTATATATATACTTTTTTTAAACTAATGACTTTAATGCCAAAACTTTGCTGAACCAAGAAAAATATGGGTTTAATGTTCTCTGCTCATTTTTTTTTCTTCTTTAAAAAAAATACAACCCAAAGAAAAGAAAGGGAAACTTATTAGTATGTAATGTTTGAGTCTATCCCATTTATACACAACATTGTAAACATATATAATCTATATTACATGTGCTTCATTTCTGCCTGGGTGTGTTTTTTTTTTTTTCTTTAAACCTTTTAGTCATCACTAGAACACCACAAAAAACCAAAACAGAACCAAACAAAAAAAATCAAACCAAAACAAATAAAAACAAAAACTGATCAAGGAACACAAGTTACAGGTTATTGAACATCTTTCTGTGACGGGTCCCTTCCCCAGTCTCCCGGGGGCAGAGTGGTCAACAACACAGTCCAAAGGAGGGCTCACGAGCCATCCACAATGCAAAGCCAGCTCCAGGGAATGGGTGATGGGCAACACTGGTTTTAAAAAAGGGGGCTTCACAACAAAGGATTTGGTTTTGCCCGCTGCAGCTGCTGAAGGAGGTCTCAAACTGCGGGACCTGGCAGCCGAGGCTCCCCACTGCTCCTGTATCCTCGAGTCCATGTCTGGAGTCTCTGGTTTGTTTTTTCTTTAAATTTTAAAACGTCTTTTTTTTGTTGTGGTCGTTCTTCTCCCCCTGGGTGTGATGAGCTGAGCCGAGTAGCTGGGTCCTGCCCTCCTGCTGGGTCCTTCATAAGTAGATGCGCCGAAGGTCTCCAGGAGACGTGATGGTGTTACACTGAGGACAGAGCTTCTTGGCACCCTGCAACCAGCAGATGAGATGCACAGTGAGAGAGTGTGAAGGACATCCCTGCCTTGGCCTGGGACTGCAGGAGCAGTAAGGCCCTCCAGGCAGGCCAAAGCCTCCAACAAGCACAAGATGTGTGAAGGGGGAGTCCTTGCCTTCCTTGCCTGTCCTGCAAGCCCCTTGTCATTCTCCAGTCCCTGGCATGAGGCAGCTGGACAAGCAGGAGCTCTGCAGAGGGCTGAAACCCAGAGCCAAGCTGCATCACCCAACTCAGCACCATCATCACCACTGGTTTCCAGGGAGATCTGCTCCTTTTTGTTTCCCTTGCTCACCTGCAGCCCTCAATGAACAAGTTCAGGTCACTGAACAGGCAGAAAATCAACCCAGCTGGAACAAGTGAAGTTTTCAGCAGGGATGACTGAGCTGGTTCATGGGGGGCTTGCACTGTCCCTTTCAAGGCAGCACAATGGGGGGACACTGCCTCATCCATCCTTCAAAAGCCTGAGAGCTGCTGGCATGAAGGAACCCTCTGTCCTGTCCTCCCTAGCTCACACAGATACTGCAGAGATCTTCTGCCAAGGTGAGCTGGAAACAGCAAACTGACGTGAGCTGGGGTGGGGTAATGGGTGGCCAACAGGAACACTATATGAAATAAAACAAGGGCTGATGTGCCATCTATCACTGAGCCTGACAGCAAGAGGGTGTTAATAAGCCTCAGAATCGGGGTCAACCCAAGCCGGTCATCATTAGATTGGCAGATGTGAAAGACAATTGATGGGAAAAATGACAGAAAGATGGCTCTGCTGCAAGGCAGCCTCCCAACTACAGCACCAGCAGCGTGGGAAATTGGGATGGCCCTCCCTGCTCCCACTGCACATTATTCCTTGCAGTCATGGACTTGGCACACCTGCCCTTCCCTGAGCTTTGCACTGCTGAACAATCAGGTGCCATTTGACAGTGGCTCAGCTGTTGACAGAACACATGTCAGGACCACGGGCACCTGCACCTGATCTAAACCAGTCACAACAAAGTCCTGTTGAGCTAGAGTTGAGTGAATTGTCTGTAAAAGACAGCCAAAACACCCTGGGCACACCTCAGGGTGAGTGACACTCTCAGGGCCAGTGACAGGCTGAAGAAGGACAGACCACTGGTGGTCTGGATGGCACACCCAACGCTGGTGCTGATGCCTGTGGGCACATCCTTCCAGTTATCTGAAACAACCACTCTGTCCGTTTAGATTTCCAGCAATCCAGGGCAGGGACCATCCCACTGTGCCTGTGCAATGCATCATGCAGCCCTATGCACTGGTCTTCACAGAGTGGACTTGGCATGCTGGATTCTGGGAGGAGCAAGTGCAACCTGTAACTCAAAGGAAAGCCTTAAAACGCTGATGAAATGGAAACTTGAGTGCACTGGACTTTAGCAGAGCCTGTTTATTTAACATGCCTCTTTGCTTATGCTCAATGCCTCAGCTTTGGGTCTCCAGAATTAGACACGGTAAGCTCTACTCTGCAAGTAAAAACTTGCTGCAGTGGTGAAAACACGAGAGAAAAATCTGAACATCTGCCCCTTCTGCCACTCTGGTGACATAGCAGCACTCCCAAGGGGCTCACTAATCTGGAGGCAAATGCCACAAAATATCCTGTTTCAATTGAGTTTCTGCTCAGTTTCATGTATTTCCCTTTTCCTTGGAGGCACCTGTTGCATCTAGTTGCCCTCTTGGCATCAACTTTGTAGCTGGAGGGGGTCCCAAAGGAAGTGTCAGGAGGTGCTGAGGAATTAATTCACAGCACGTTGTCCAAGGACAGCAGCTGGCAGCTGCCTGTTCAAGCTTTCCTGTGTGCCCTGAAAAGCAGAAGTAATTGTGTGTGGGGACTTTAAGCATTCCAGATGTGACTAGTGCCCACATCTGTGTCCATGCTCTCCTTCCTAAGACAGGCTTACTGGCAAGAGGCAGCAAGGCATTGAACCAAAGCTGCAGGTGCTCACTCTAAGCACCAGCCCTCTCTGCACTCAGTGCACAGGGATGGCAGAACAAGCCTGATGAAATCAAGTGCATCTTTGCTGCTCTCTTCCACAGCAAAGCAAGGTCAGGTATGCAGCTCCCTCACACTACAGGGAAAGGGAAGATGGCTCTGGATTTATCTTGCCAGACCGTGGGATCTCAGTCCCAGAGGCTTTAGGGGGATTCACTCTCCCACTTAAGGCTGAGAGCTGCACATGCATAGCCAGGGACAAGTTTTCAACCATGTCACAAAGCAGAAGCCAACTATATGGAGGCTTGACCTATTTTCTGCAAATCTACATGATCACAGATTGATTTAGGGCAGTAGATACTGCTTCACCTGCACAAGGCAGGCAGGACTCATCCTTGAGCTCTGAAGTATGGGTACGCTGAAGGGAACAATGGCATCCTGGAAACCTTCAGCAGCCTGGCCTGAACGTGGTGCAGGCTGCACGTGGCATGCTGGGCCAAGTGCTCTGGGTCTCCTAATACTTTGGACACTTGGGGATGCATTTTTCTTTTATATTATATGAAACTGCCCTCCTCTGCACACATAAGCCTGTGTGGTAAATTCAGAACTAATTCCTGATTTTTTACTTTTTAGATTGAAGTTGCTCAGAACCTTGTTCCTTACATCTGACTTTTCAGTGTAGGGGTACAACATTTATCTGGACCAGTGATTAAGCTTTCCTCTCTTGTGGAGAGGCACATAAGCTTGTACACACACACATGCTGGCACAGGCACAATGAAAAAGCATTTGCTCCCCCACTGCTCACCTGCCAGCTGGGGTTACTAAACTTTTCCCTTGAAATAAAAATGCTGTGGAATAATAAGTCCCACCTGTCGGCCATTTCTTTTTCTTTTTTTTCCAGGTCCTTCTGCTCCTTTCATCATAGCTACATGGAAAAGCCTTGATGTGTTATAGCTGTGTGTGCTGGAGTAAAGGCCACCTCAGCTTTTCCATTATAAACCCCAGTTTTGAGGGGTTTATAAAACTCTGCTGCAAGAAGTTTGCTCCAGGGCTGTTACAAAGCAAAGAAATGGGGCTGGAACCAGGAT